AAACACACAGCGACTCCTCAGCTGGAAGGACGTCCATGGCAGTGCACTGAGAAGAGATTTACACCCCACCCCCCGGATTCTGCTTCATCCATAAGACGAGCAGGTTTGACAGGATGACTGCAAATACTCTTTCAAATTCAGACAGGAGCCCCCGCTGCAGCCCCATTAGGGAGTGCTTCTGTGTACACAGGCATTTTCCTGGGCATGCAGCAGACTCCAAAGCATGGGCACAAATCCTCGCCTAGGCCCAGTCAAGGCCATGATAAAAGGAGAGAATAGCTGAGGCCGGTGCTGGGGCATAGCAGGTAAAGTCACAGCCTGCAGGGCTGGCATCCCATATGGGCGCCGGTTCCAGTCCCGGCTGCTCCACTTCCAATCCAGCTCTCATTCGGGGAGTGAACCAGCAGGTGGAAGATCTCTCTCTCTCTCTCTCTCTCTCTCTCTCTCTGCCTCTCTCTAACTCTGCCTTGCAAATAATAAATGAATAAATCTTTAAGAAAAGAAAAAAAGGGAGGAGAGGAGGGGACTAAAAAGTCTCTGCCCCACCAATTCCCCACAAACACCCAGCCACTCTCAGCAGCTGGCGGGCCTCCTGCAAGCCCTCTGCCTCCTGTTCAGGGTCTCTGCTGAACGGCCCAGTCTGGCCCACACAGCACTGACCAGAAAGCTACTCTGAACATGGACTCACATGGGCCTGTGAGAGCGGATAAAATACAGTCAGGAATCCTGGAAGAGCAGCAGCGTCCAAAGGTGAGGGAGCGAGGTCAGCGCTGTGGCTCGGCGGGTTAAGCCTCTGCCTGTGATGCCGGCATCCCATGTGGGTGCCAGCTCCAGTCCTGGCTGCTCCACTTCTGATCCAGCTCCCTATTAACGCACCTGGGAAGGCAGTGGAGGATGGCTCAAGTGTTGCGCCCCTGAACCCACGTGGGAGGCCCAGAAGAAGCTCCTGGCTCCTGCCTGGCCTAGCCCTAGCTGTTATGGCCATTTGGGGAGTGGCCCGCTGGAGGGTGTCTCTCTCTCATCGCCTCTTCCTCCTCCTCCTCTCTCTGTAACTCTGCCTTTCGAGTAAATAAAAAGTCAGTCTTTAAAAAACTGTCTGTTAAAAGGTGAGGGAGCCACGGACAATGCCAGTCGCTCTCCTGCTGCTTTTGGTCCCAGCTGCATGGACCCCGACGATCCTATGAGGGTTTTGCCTTTGCCACCAAGTCGCTCCTGTCTTGCCCAGAGTTCTCTGCAGAGAAGTTTCCAGGCTGGAAAGTGGGGGAGTTGTAGCCCTGTTTCTTACTATCCAGGCCCAGCCCAGTGCACCGAGGGGCAGAGCTCGGGTTTTCAGAGAGAGCTGGGCAACACTTCCTCTTCACCACGCCCTTCCTGGCCTCCCTGCGTGCAATCCCGTGCTCCCAGCCTGATTAACTCGACAGATGTCTTTTCAGTAAACAAGAAACCCAATACACATGCTTCATATGTGGGGTGAAGAGAGTGAGCAAGTGCTTCTTCAATGTACAACCTCAATTACCCCCACAAGCTATGTCTCACTGGGTAATAAGGTTTTAATAAAGAGGCCAGCTAAATCCTTGCCAAATGACAATTCGAAATCTTGCTTTGAGCACAAGTATAAAGTACTAACACCCATGCTAAGCACAAGAACACAGGTAGCTGCACTATGCTATCCTACCCTTATATGTACGCACTGGGGTTTTAGTCTGGCAAGGTTAGGGAGCCCCTGATGAAGAGACAAATCCAGAGACACCCCCAGGGATTACTGAAATTTATTTTTGTTCACAAAAACAGATACTATTAACTTCATCAAGAAAAGTGGAATACTCTGGTTCATGTTAAGAAAGTCCAGATGCCTCTCTCTAGCTGGTTCAGCTGCAGGATGAAAAATGCAATGTGCCTGTCTCAAGTTTTTAAAGAGAGAATTTTGCGGAGGAGAATGAGCTGCAAATCCGAAGCCAGAAGGTTTGGGTTTCGGCCTTAGCTCCGGTAACTACCCCAAAGTCGCTCCAGCAGATGATCTCGGATCTTGGCTCTGTCACCATCACCATTTCCTCCTCCTCCCCCACCACTGCCACCGTCAGCATTTTTACTTTATGGATAAGGAAGTTTGAAATGTTTCCCTGGTCACTGTGAGTTCCACACATAAGCCTGTCTTTGAAAGTGCTTTCTTGGGGCCAGCGCTGTGGCGTAGCGGGTGAAGCTACCGCCTGCAGTGCTGACATCCCATATGGGTGCCAGTTTGAGCCCCAGCTGCTCCACTTCCAATCCAGCTCTCTGCGGTGGCTTGGGAAAGAAGTGGAAGATGGCCCAAGTCCTTGGGCCCCTGCACCCACGTGAGAGACCCAGAAGAGGCTCCTGGCTCCAGATCAGCGCAGCTCCAGCTGTTGCGGCCAATTGGGGAGTGAACCAGTGGATGGAAGACCTCTCTCTCTCTCTCTCTCTCTTCCTCCCCTTCTCTCTCTGTGTAACTCTTTCAAATAAATAAACAAAATCTTTTTTTTTTTTAAAGTGCTTTCTTAGCAGCTTTGCAAAGAATTCAGGAGCCCGCGATTCATCCTACCAGGAACAGGCTCCATTCTCCATGGTCACACTTTAATCGGATCAAGAGCCTTAAACAAGCACACCTGGCGGAACAAGGAGGCACAGGGAATTCCCAGGGAATTCCCAGGGCCTTTGCTTACGCTTGAAATTTCCCACAGTAAAGTTGGTCTTAAGTTGTTTTTTTGTTGTTGTTGTTTTGTTTTGTTTTGCTGAGAGGCAGAGACATAAATACACAGAGAGTATTCCCATTTGCTGGGTCACTCCCCAAATACCCACAACAGCCTAGGGAGGGCTGGGGCTGGGGTCAGGAGCCAAGAATGCAATCCAGGTCTCCCATGTGGTTGCCAGGAACCTAATGACTTGGTCAGTCACCACTGCCTCCCAGATTCTGTAGGAAGCTGGAGTCAAGAGCCAGAGCTGGGGCTGACACCATGGCGTAGTAGGTTAGGCCTCCGCCTGCAGTGCCGCATTCCATGTGGGAGCTGGTTCTAGTCCCAGCTGCTCCTCTTCACTGTGAGTTCCACACATAAGCCTGTCTTTGAAGTGCTTTCTTGGGGCCAGCGCTGTGGTGTAGCAGATGAAGCTACCACCTGCAGTGTCGGCATCCCATATGGGTGCCAGTTCGAGCCCCAGCTGCTCCTCTTCCAATCCAGCTCTCTGCTATGGCCTGGGAAAGCAGTAGCTATGGCCCCTGCACCCAGAAGAAGTCCTGGCTCCTGGCTTCAGAATGGCTCAGCTACAGCTATTGCAACCATTTGGGGAGTGAACCAGCAGATGAAGACCTGTCTCTCTGTCTCTCCCTCCCTCTGCATGCCTGCTCCCTTTTAAAGGTTTTGTAAAGTACTCAATTTGTTATTTTTGAATCCCCTGTTTCAGTGATGGAATATTTTCACAGCTCTGATTTTTCTGGTTTGCCATTGCTCCAAGCCAGTGTTGACTGACAGGTTTCTCTCCAAAGAACCAGATGGGTGTCCACCAGATCCTCCCTAGTGGGATGACCTAGGACTGCCCCAAAGCCAGACCGCTAAGCCATAGGTCTCCTCTGGGAGGCAGGAAGGGGGCCACTAGGTGATGGAGATGTTCACAGTGAGCCACGGACGTCTCCCTCTAGCTGATGCCGCCGTCGTGGGGGTCCCCTGAGCCCAAGTCCTCCACCGGAGAGTCTGTGCAGCTGGGGAGGTCTCGGGGTGGGGGTGCATTTCATCCTGCACCACACCCTTACTGAGCACACAGAAGTCAAGATGGGAAACCTTTTGTCGTCATAGCCCCGCTGTCTGTCCTCGTGCACTGCTCCTAGACCAAGCTGCTCTGACTCTGACTCCTTTGTACGCCACCATCTCCTTCTTTCTTCACAACGTTTCAAAATCTTGGCAGTTTTGTTTTAAAATTTCCCAAGGATGCACTTTGGGTGAGTTCTCTTTTCATGCCTTCAGCTGGGCAATCAGCACATTGTTTTTGTTTGTTTTTAAATATTTATTCTATTTATTTGAGGCAGATTTACAGACAGAGAAAGGTCTTCCATCCTCTGGTTCGCTCCCCAGATGGCCACAGCGGCCAGAGCTGAGCAGATCTGAAGTAAGGAGCCAGGAACTTCTTCTGGGTCTCCCACGTGGGTGCAGGGGCCCATGGACTTGAGCCATCTTCCACTGCTTTCCAGGCACATTAGCACACAGCTGCTTAAGTGGAGCAGCCAGGACTCGAACTGCTGCCCACACGGGATGCTGGCGCCACAGATGGTGGCTTAACCTCCTATGCCACAGGGCAGGCCCCAACTGTTTCTCCACTTGCAGACTTGCGTCTTCACCTTTGGGAGATTTTCTTCCATTACTCCTGTCATAATTTCCCTCCCTTGGTTTTCCCAGTTCTTTCAGGAAACTGTCACAGTCGGAGCTGAGCCTCTGGGGTTAACCCCCTATGTCTCTCTTCTTTCTGTCACATTTTTAGTATTTTGGAATTTTTATTCTACTTTCCAACTACTTCTTCTGTCTGTCTTGCTTTCCAGGATTTCTTCAACCTCATTTTCCAACTTAATTCAATTTCATGTTCATATTTTAACCCCTGAGAGCTTTAATTATCCCACTGTTCTTTTTCCACAGCATCCTGTTCCTGTTTAGGAGATAGCTCCTCAAATTCTCAGAGAACACTAAGAAGAATTTCTTCCACATCACGTAGTACCCAAATACATTTACATAATTTTCATCTATCAATTAAAAATTGAAAAATTGAAATGTATATATAGTTTTGGGAAAGTATTTTTTCCAAACCACATTTTTTTAAATTTGGCTCACATATTCAGTCCACTTTGTTTTCTATATATACACATGTAGGTCTACACATCTGAGTCCACACACCCAAGAAGAAGGAAACTCAAACCACTAGCAAACAGGCAATCACGCATCACTTCTGACCGTGCCTGGTACCCGGGAAGTAGGCAGTGCGCCAGGGAGGAGCTGGCTTACCTTCATGGAGTCGGAGTACAGAATGTATTCCCTGAGCACGGGCAGGAAGTCCTCTGTCATGTCATCCGTCAGCTCCTCCAAGGCCGCAGAGCAGTTTCCGATACAGGCCGACACCCCCTCCAGGGGTTCCGCCAGCTCGCCCTCCAGCGCGCTCCACGTGGAGTACACGGGCCCGTACTCCCTCAGCTCTACCAGATACTCTGCAGCGCGGAAGAGGAACCAGTTAAGATCTGGCAGGGCTGCAAGCACTGGAACTGCCGACTCGGTAATGGGCACAGCCAGGAGCTCCCCGTGTTCAGACAGGATTCCCTGGTCACCCGCTCACGGGAGCACGCTCCCCTTTAAACAAACTCTGGTCCCAGTGGACAAAAGCTGGCGGCACAGCTGACGTCACAGAGCAGTCTGTCCCCGCCCACAATGCGAACGCCAGGCCACTGAACAGCAAAGCCCACGAGGCCTCATGGGGGCTCTCATCTCTGCTCGTCATCCCAGCACTGCGGTCCCTTCAGAATTACTCCACGTGATCCTCAGTGTGGACGGTACCCGAAGCCGCCTCTGCAGGTTCCACACTGACACCCTCAGTGGGTAAAGCAGAGGAAGTGTGCATGGGGAACACGGACGAAAAGATGTTGATTTGTCCCCACGCAAGGAAAATCTGGCCTGTCATTCTGTCACCAGGATTCTTGCCTTTCCAACAGAATGTGGCTGTCATTATTTATTAACCAATAATAATGGTTAATAACGGCCGGTGACTCCTGGAGAATCCTCTACAACGTGTTTCATGTGCCAGCATGACCAGCGCCACTGCCCATGTCTGTCTGGTCTATGTGTGTGGAAGGCCACAGAAGACCTCATTCTGGGGTATGGCAAGGCAAGTGGCCCTGAGAGGCATGAGAAGCCAGTGATGGCAATGGCCAGGAAAAATAAACACGGGATTAGACAGTGGCCCAGCTCAGGTGGCTTTGAAATGGGTGGACTGAGTGAGTCACTTTCAAGCCTACAGGCTCACTATGGTCAGAACCGTGGCAAGCTCAGGTCACCACGCTCTCCTTTTGAACCATCTCTCAGCCAGAAAAAAATAGCTCAGTTTGTTTTTTTTGTTTTTTTTTTTGTTTTTTTTTTTTATTTTTTGACAGGCAGAGTGGACAGTGAGAGAGAGAGAGACAGAGAGAAAGGTCTTCCTTTGCCGTTGGTTCACCCTCCAATGTCCACCACAGCTGGCGCGCGCTGCGGCCGGCACACCACGCTGATCCGATGGCAGGAGCCAGGTGCTTCTCCTGGTCTCCCATGGGGCGCAGGGCCCAAGCACCTGGGCCATCCTCCACTGCACTCCCTGGCCACAGCAGAGAGCTGGCCTGGAAGAGGGGCAACCAGGACAGAATCCAGCGCCCCGACCGGGACTAGAACCTGGTGTGCCGGCGCCGCTAGGTGGAGGATTAGCCTATTGAGCTGTGGCGCCGGCCAGTTTGTTGTTTTTAAAGTTCTCTCTCAGATGGATGAAAGGCAGGTGAGTCCCTGGCTCCACTTTCAAAGCTAAAATTAACAGCAATGAAAGAGGAACAAGGCCGGCGCCGCGGCTCACTAGGCTAATCCTCCGCCTAGCGGTGCCGGCACACCGGGTTCTAGTCCCGGTCGGGGCGCCGGATTCTGTCCCGGTTGCCCCTCTTCCAGGCCAGCTCTCTGCTGTGGCCAGGGAGTGCAGTGGAGGATGGCCCAGGTGCTTGGGCCCTGCACCCCATGGGAGACCAGGAAAAGCACCTGGCTCCTGGCTCCTGCCATCGGATCAGCGCGGTGTGCCGGCCGCAGCGCGCTGGCCGCGGCGGCCATTGGAGGGTGAACCAACGGCAAAGGAAGACCTTTCTCTCTCTCTCTCTCTCTCACTGTCCACTGTGCCTGTCAAAAAAAAAAAAAGAGGAACAGCCTAGACTCTCCAAAGCGGTTGCTTGCCATGGGAAAAGCAAACACAAGGCTGAGTTGCAGGCCGAATTATGGCGTGCAAAATTACACTCCAGTCCCAAGCGGCTCCTCCCCGCCTTGCATCTATTTGTTTTAGGGTGCAACGTGGCCTGCTTCTGTCACCCCACTGTGATTTCTGCAGCCAGATTCAGCTTTGCACACACGCACGCCATTTCTGCCACCATGGCCCCTGGGCGCGATGGGGATTAAAGAGCTCACCTATTTCTTCTTTGATGATCCGCTGGGCTATCCTGTCAATGGTTCCCAGTTTGAGCGCGAACGTATCCAAGTAGTCCCCGATGGCTGCGAACTCCAGAGGCCGGCTCCTCAGCTTGTAGCCCCCCGTGACGTGCTTGACAGACTCGCCCACGCGCGTCAGCAGCGCCATCCCTTGCTTCTTGTAGGCGTTCAGGTCCTAAGGATGACACGTGGATGACTCAAAGTGCTCGGTCGCCCACGCAGCCTGGACGCTATGAACCAACTCCTCCAAGCAGCTCCCGTGTGGGGAATGGGGGATCCGGAAGACAAGGAGCCGAGCTGGAGGACTCGCTGCAAGCACACCATGTCCCCTCCTGATGCCACGCCCACCCGACCCACGGCTCTGCGTGGACATTCACAGTCCTTCAGCAGAGCCGACCGCCAACCCATCAATCAAAGCTCACTCACATGGGCATGCTGTCCTTCAAACACGACCTCGTTCTAACACGATTTTTAAAACCTCTGACTTTTTTTCCCCCAAAAAAATCTCTTTTTCCCATACATAACATATTACACTAACTTTAGGAGTGAAATTAAGGAGCCAAGACTCTGAGATTTGTCCCAATCATTTACACACACACACACGGATCCACATGATCCATTTTCATTCACCAAATCCACATACGTAGAGGGCAGAGAGCAGGGAATGGTGACAGAAGCAGCTAGAAAACTCTGGCCAAGGGGTCGGCATTGTGGCATAGCACATTAAACAGCAACCCAATCAGTGTGGTGCTGCAAGTCCCAGCTGCTCACTTCCAGTCTAGCTCCCTGCCAACATGCCTAGGAAAGCAGCAGAAGATGGGCCAAGGGCTTGGGCCTCTGACATCTGTGTAGGAGACCCAGATGGAGTTCCCAGCTCCTGGCTTTGGCCTGGCCCGGTCTAGTCATGGCCTTGTAGCCATTTGGGGTGTGAACCAGTGGATGGAAGATCTCCTTCTCTCTGTCATTCTGCCTTTCAAAAAAATAAAATAAATCTTTAAAAAAAAAAAAAAGAAGAAGAAAGGGAAGGAGGAAGGGAGGGGAGGAGGGAACTCCACCTATGGATAGATATAAACATCAAAGCATTTGAACTCTGAATTTCTTGTAGGTTAAGGCAAAAACAGGAGATACATGGAGTTTTATTACATCCCTGCCAGGAAAAACAAATTCCTTCTGATCATCAAACCACGCGAGGGATCTACAGTCTCTTCAGGTTGCCCTACAGCACTCACTTCAACCGCACCTTCAAGAACGGTCTTACAGAGGCTGTGGGTGTCTGAGCCTCGCCTCTAGCATGTCAATTCCCAGGGCCTTGGGAGGGCACACGGAAGGTGGCTCTAGCTCCCTACTGACGGGGCCTGATGCGGAATAAAGCGGAGAATGAGGAATTCATGGTTAGCACAGCTGCCTCCTCTGACACAACCTCAGGCTGAGGCTCCCACCAAGGCAGGCGGCGCAGATCCCTGGTGACTTCACTCTCTGCTCCGTGCAGCCAAGGCCTTCAATTCTGCTGCATCCCCCCGCCCCTTTCCTCTCCATGACTTCCTCCAACCGAGACCCTTTTCCTATCAATCATCCCCCCCCCCCTCCTGTCTCTCTCTCTCTCCAACCTCTAGTGCTCTGGCATGTAAAATAAAACCAGGGCTCACCCACGTCAATACAATAGCCTTCTTCTTAGGCCTGCTCCATCTCTCGCCTTCCCTTCCAGGGCAGGCTGCCCGAGAGGGCTCCTCAAAGGTTCCATGCCTCCCTGTCCCCCACACCCCACACAAGCAGCATCCTCCCATGCACCAGGCCTTCACAAGGCCATCACTGAAGCGCCCGTCCTCGCTGCTGCTTCTGCAGATAGTTCGTTTTGGGAGCACCACCAGATCCCGATGGGCTCACTGGGCTGCGTAAGCTCCACTTTCAAGGGGCGCTTTGGAAGGGTGTCCTGGCGAATCAAGCGACCTGTTGAATGAGCTAAGTTGCTGCCAGGGCCTGCTGCTGCACCCATGCTGCCAACAACGGAAACACGGACTTGAACGCGGCTGACACTGAGCTTCCCCCACTTCTTCCGCTGTCACTGGCTTCCCCTACAGACACTTCCGGTCTGTGGTAAGATCACGTCATCACGAAGAAAGGGAGGCCCTCTGTGCACTCACCACTCAGAACACGTAAGCAGCTCGTGAGAACAAGATCGGCTGAAGGAAACATGGGGCAGGGGCCATCGGGAGCAGCTGTTTACTGGACAGAGTTCAGATTCGAGGGTGAGAAAGTTCTGGAGGGTGGCTGCCCATGCAATGCGCGTACCCTCCACACTACGGAACTGCACACTGACAAATGGCTAAGATGGCAAACTGTGTATCACATGTATTTTTTTTTTTTTAATTTGACAAGTAGAGTTACAGACAGTGAGAGAGAGACAGAGAAAGAGGTCTTCCTTCTGTTGGTTTGCCCCCCAAATGGCTGCTACGGCCAGAACTACACTGATCCAAAGCCAGGAGCCAGGTGCTTCCTCCTGGTCTCCCATGCGGGTGCAGGGCCCAAGGACTTGGGGCATCCTCCACTGCACTCCTGGGCCACAGCAGAGAGCTGGACTGGAAGAGGAGCAACCGGGACTAGAACCGGCACCCCAACCAGGACTAGAACCTGGGGTGCTGGCACCGCAGGCGGAGGATTAACCTAGTGTGCCATGGCACTGGCCCCACATGTATTTAACTAGTCAGAAATTTTTTAAAAAGAAAAGAAATTGCTATTTAGTGCATTTAGTTCAGTAAGAAGTATTAAAGTAGGGCTGGAATTTGTTCTGCTTAAAGCTGCCTCTCTGTATTCACTCACATTCAGTTGGATTTTAATTGAGATATTGAAAGACTTTATACATTTTTAAAAATCATTTTCACACTGCTTGGCCCAGAGATAGACAAATCAATCAACTGATTCTCTCTCTCTCTCTCTCTCTCTCTCTCTCTCACACACACACACACACACACACACACATGTCCTTTTCTACTTTTTAATTTTGGAGAGGCAGGGATACAGCAAGAGAGACATTTAGGCAGAAAGAGAAGGAGCTCCCATTCACTGGTTCATCTCCCTTATGCCAGGAGCCAGAAACTCAACCATGTCTCCGGTGTGGGTGGCAGCATCCCAACCACTTAAGCCACCACTGCTACTTCCCAGGGTTTGTGTTAGCAGGAAGCTTGAATTGAAAGCAGAGCCAGGAATTGAACCCAAGTACCTGGGATGCAGGTGTGCTACCCAGCATCTTACCCACCAGGCCAAATGCCCACCCACTACTTCATGCAAATCACTGGCATCCGGCGGGCCAAGCTTTCCCCACTTTTCTCTTTCGTTCAGTAAAGATGACCAAGCACAGGGGCTGGAGTAAGAAAGTGAGCTGCAGAGCCGGTGCTGTGGTACAGTGGGCTCAGCCATCGCCTGTGGCGCCAGTTTGAGTCCCAGTTGCTCCTCTTCTGATCCAGCTCTCTGCTTTGGCCTGGGAAAGCAGTAGAAGATGGCCCAAGTGCTTGGACCCCTGCACCCACCTGGGAGACCTGGAAGAAGCTTTTGGCTCCTGGCTTTGGCCTGGCCCAGCTTCGGCCACTGTGGCCATTTGGGAAGTGAACCAAAGGTTGGAAGACTCCTCTCTCTCTCTGCCTCTGCCTCCTGTAACTCTGACTCTGCCTTCAAATAAATAAATACATCGACAAAGAACGTAAGCAAGTATAGTAAGATTGTAAGACTGAAGAATGGAAGAATGAAGGATTGACGCAAGTACGGACTGACGCACGAACGTAAGTATGCAGCCACGAACGATAGCATAGGAAAGAAAGGTACGAAGGAAGGAAGGCA